ATTTTAAACAAATAACAAATATGACTCATTTGAATAAATTACTGGTTTCGAAGGCTATAAATACAATTTTTGCCCAAATTACGTCATTTCCGGTGATATTGAAAATGTTAAATTGGTTTGACCTAGTTAAAATTGACATTACACATCAAATGGTGTCACTTTTATGAAAATCGAATAATAATTGACTCTTTTACAGGCAAACTAGCGTAAAAAGTGACTCATGCAAAATTGCCCATTTCTCGGCAACTGCGCATATTACAAATTAATTTTCACATACATTCTCTCCGTATAGATTATTGCTACGAGTTTATGAAAGTTACGAAGTAATATTTTAAAATATGAAAACGCTGGATGGGTTGTAAATAGCTTAATTTTACACCTTTTTTCACCTTTTAATCGAAATAGCCCGAAAACGGAATCGAAATTAAAAAACATGGTCCCAACATTTTGTGCGCCTTTAAAAGGCGCACAATTTCAGTTATACCAGATTTGAAAAAAATAATATTTGCTTTCGAAAAATGGTACCTAACTGTCAAAATTGTAGTTTTTTGTCAATTTACGCCACTTCCGGTGCCGACAGATAACACTATTGGTAACAAAAAAAATGACAATTGAGACAACGGGGCATATGAACTTTGTTTTATACAAATCGAACAATAAATAATTAATCTAGGACTGAAAAACTGAATTAGCCAATGGGGGCCAAGGAAAATTACCGAGACAAAAAATTTTCACATTTTTGCCCAAGTCAGAGGACTCGTTATATTTGTGTAAAACACGATTAAAAAATATTCATAAATAAAAAAGTTTTTTGTAAAAATTTAAATTTTCTAAATTTAGCGCCTAATATCTGCGAAGATTTGCCGAAAATCAAAAATCAAAAGTAGCGTAGCTATGTGCCCCGTCTCCGGCTATGCCAAAATGCATCGAAAGTTAAAATCCAATGATTATTGTTAAAATTACTGCAATATTTCTAAAAACGATAGCTTCGGTGATTTCGGACATTTCGCATTGTCGCAGAACGTTCAAAATAGCTTTATCCTCTAAGTCACACCCACTTTTCCGATAAAACCGAAGAAATCGTAACGATCCGACAATCAATTGCTGAGATCTACTCAAAACAAAAGAAGAATAATAATAATAAGAACTAGAACTGCGAAGCAGTAATGACGGGTTTCACCGGTGCCACGTTACCCTTGAACTTATGTCACTTCCGGTACCAAAATTACATTACTTCCGGTGATAATGAAAATGTTAAATTGGTTTATGAAATCAGAAATAGCATCATCACATGGTGAAAATTTTATGTAAATCCTATAATAGTTGCCACCTTTATAGACCAAAAACCTTGAAAAATGACTTGTAGAAAATCGCCTATTTCTCTGCAACCGTACAAGTTAGAAACCATTTTGAGGTATCTGTATGATCGAATGAGTTCATTCTATTTGTTGATTGGAATTAAATATCATAATTTTAAAAACATTACAAATCTGATTCATTTGAATAAAATATCTGTTTTGAAGGCTAAAAATACAGTTTTTGCCAAAATGACGTTACTTCCGGTGATAATGAAAATCTTAAATTACTTGTATGATATCGTAAATGGCATTAGGTATCACACAATGAAAATTTCATGAAAATCGAATAATAATTGACACTTTTATTGACAAAAAACCTTAAAAAGTGACCTGTTGAAAATTGCCTATTTCTCCGCAACTGAACAAGTTAGAAACCATTTTGTGATATCTATATGATCGTAAGGGTTCATTGTATTAGTTGATTTGAATCAAATATCAAAATTTTAAACAAATAACAAATATGACTCATTTGAATAAATTACTGGTTTCGAAGGCTATAAATACAATTTTTGCCCAAATTACGTCATTTCCGGTGATATTGAAAATGTTAAATTGGTTTGACCTAGTTAAAATTGACATTACACATCAAATGGTGTCACTTTTATGAAAATCGAATAATAATTGACTCTTTTACAGGCAAACTAGCGTAAAAAGTGACTCATGCAAAATTGCCCATTTCTCGGCAACTGCGCATATTACAAATTAATTTTCACATACATTCTCTCCGTATAGATTATTGCTACGAGTTTATGAAAGTTACGAAGTAATATTTTAAAATATGAAAACGCTGGATGGGTTGTAAATAGCTTAATTTTACACCTTTTTTCACCTTTTAATCGAAATAGCCCGAAAACGGAATCGAAATTTAAAAAACTGGTTCCAACATTTTGTGCGCCTTTAAAGGGCGCACAATTTCAGTTATACCAGATTTGAAAAAAATAATATTTGCTTTCGAAAAATGGTACCTAACTGTCAAAATTGTAGTTTTTTGTCAATTTACGCCACTTCCGGTGCCGACAGATAACACTATTGGTAACAAAAAAAATGACAATTGAGACAACGGAGCATACAAATCGAACAATAAATAATTAATCTAGGACTGAAAAACTGAATTAGCCAATTGGGGCCAAGGAAAATTACCGAGACAAAAATTTTTCACATTTTTGCCCAAGTCAGAGGACTCGTTATATTTGTGTAAAACACGACTAAAAAATATTCATAAATAAAAAAGTTTTTTGTAAAAATTTAAATTTTCTAAATTTAGCGCCTAATATCTGCGAAGATTTGCCGAAAATCAAAAATCAAAAGTAGCGTAGCTATGTGCCCCGTCTCCGGCTATGCCAAAATGCATCGAAAGTTAAAATCCAATGATTATTGTTAAAATTACTGCAATATTTCTAAAAACGATAGCTTCGGTGATTTCGGACATTTCGCATTGTCGCAGAACGTTCAAAATAGCTTTATCCTCTAAGTCACACCCACTTTTTCAGTAAAACTGAAGAAATCGTAACGATCCGACAATCAGTTGCTGAGATCTACTCAAAACAAAAGAAGAATAATAATAATAATAAGAATAATAATTTTAACAAAAACAATAGTGTTTCACACAAGCTACGCAGTGTGAAACCCTAATAATAATTTTAACAAAAACAATAGTGTTTCACACAAGCTACGCAGTGTGAAACCCTAATAATAATTTTAACAAAAACAATAGTGTTTCACACAAGCTACGCAGTGTGAAACCCTAATAATAATAATAAGAATAATAATTTTAACAAAAACAATAGTGTTTCACACAAGCTACGCAGTGTGAAACCCTAATAAAATAACTAATAATAACATACAAACATACCTTCGAGTTCAAACACATCTCGATACGTGATTGCAATGTTTTTTAATTTTTTCTTCTCCATTCAAAGTCTGCCACTGTTTTGAATATTCCACACAATGCCTCCACGTGTTGTCGTTAAAAACCAGTAACTTGCAGGGCTGTGTTGCATTCTGATGAATAAGGCACTTCTTTTTTCTGGTCAGAATGCCAGAAAAATGTGTCCTTGTTGACTATGTACGCCATGATTGAAGGATCGGGGATAGAAGTTTTCTTTATTTTGATTGGCCAAAATGGCACTCGGCATTGATCATAGTGCGTATTCCTACGCGTGTAATGTTTATTTTTTAGGTGATTAGGTTAAAAAGAATTCCATTTTTAAAAAATAATTATTAAATACTGGCACATGCTGAATGTGTGGAGATCTGTTTTTTTTAAATTAGTACAAAGAGACGTGTAATTTAAAAAATTAAAATCTCCCACAGAGGTTGTTGCAACGAACTTGAACGATAAATTCCTTCGGTCTTTCGTCTATTAGTACTAATTTGCGGGCAATCACTCAAGTCAAGGGGGGTTGGATTGCTAAATGGTTAGCACGTGCGTGCTGTATCATACGGCCTGTCATTGAGTCAACTGGCATGGTTTCGAATCCCCGGTTGTATGTGACAAGGAGAAGGGTCGCCTGTCCAACCTCGTGGGTTTTCTCCGGGTCCTCCGGTTTCCTCCCACTGCTAAAGACCCCTACGACCAAGCGTATTAATGAAATAAAATTAAACCATATGTTAGTCCCGAAATGACCTAGTTTGTGTCGAGTGGAGGTTAAACCCCATTTCTCTCGCTTTCGCTCAAGTCAATCAATCAATCATTCAGTTAGATTAAAAGACAGTAGTCTTACTACACTTTAATATTAATCTCAAGGTAACAAGTGACATACCAAACAATGGCCTTCAAGTATGTTTTACTTTATATAAAACATAATAAAACAAATATATATTTTGTTTTAGAGTCATGCTGAATAATTCATCAGCCATACAATTATTATAGAAAAACTATTTGGATTGATTAAGAATTTTATAAAATTACTTTTAAAAAAATAAAGTTAAGAATTTTATAAAATTACTTTTAAAAAAATAAAGTTAATTTTAATTAACTTTATTTTTTTAAAAGTAATTTTATAAAATTCTTAATCAATCCAAATAGTTTTTCTATAATGAATTGAAAGTATATAGTTAAAACTATATACTTTCAATTCATTTTTTCAAGTCATACAGTGAAAAGATCAGTTGTTGTCGCCACTGCCCGTCATTTGAAAATTTGCCTTGATGTTATAATATATAGAAATAACAATTCATACACAAATATCTATTATTGTGAATCAAGAATTATTATCGAGTTTGATTTTGTATGCGCTTCGTTGTAGAAAAATAAGATTGTCTGTTTAAGGTCGTCTATGAAAAATGTTTTTTTAAAATTTATATACTCATAAAGTAATGGGTAATGGTAATTAATTGCTTTCAATGCAATGGGTAATGGTAATTAATTACATTGCTAAAAATGAGAAAGTAATTGTAATGATTACATTTAAAAATGTTTAAAAGTCGGCTGTGAGCTGAGATGTAGGAAGCTATTTTCTTAAATGCTAATTAGAGAAAGGCCTAAATTAGGTTTATAAATTTGAATACAATTAAAATTTAATTACCACTAATTATGAAGCGGTTGAAGAAGTTATAACCATGGCCCTTAATACATAAGGACCATGTTATAACTAATTGATATCAAATCTACATGGAACTACCATTGTTGTTGATCGGAGAGAAATTGTCTTAGGGGACAAATAGTAAGAGGACGAATTGTCTTCGGACGAATTGACCGTAGAGGCGAATCATCTCCGGATGGATAGTCCAAAATTATATTTTTATCGCAATTCGTGGAAATAGGGATTGACAGGGCGAGCGTTGACCCTTATTAGGAACGCATTGACAACATAATGATTAAAAAAGCTTAAATAAATTTTAGCGGAACAAAAAATATCACCACAACAAAAATTGCCCAAATACTTTTATTTTATCGCAATTGGCAGAAATGGCGAACGACAGAGACGGTCAGCAGGACGAACTGGTTTTAAATTGAGCTGTTTTTCTTTAGCTTAAAAATAGTTCGGTTTTCTATCCGTGTATATGTAATGTATTTCATCTGCGAGATAAGGTCGTGGTTCTGGGTAATGATAAATCATGCCTATAGCAATACCCAAAGCTGACTGATCTTCACGATGGCATTTATGATATTTAAATACATTCAATGGACATTTAAATCTTTGTTCTGTCCCTTTGGGCATAATACAATATCTCTGAAGTGCGCATGTTAACCACGATCTCATGATGGCGTAGGAATACAGGTTGTTTTTCACAACCAAACCAAATCCCGCACCCGTTTCTTTTATATTATGAAACAGACATGGTTTCTCTTGAAAATATTCAAATGTTTTAGCAAATGTATGATTAACTATAAAATATGGTTCATGTTCTGCTGAGCGGAAAAAGACACCTGTTTCCTTCACATAATTAAAAGTTGATGTAAATCTTGAACTTCTAAATCGACCTGAAGCATCCGTGTATATGACAAAACCATATTGGTTCAGGACTTCCTGTAACAAATAAAACATAGATAAAAACGAAGAAATTGATCAAAATATGAACAATAAACATGGGGATTAAAACCACTGAACCTATTGTGTCGGGATTCTACTAAATATTATTTTTATGGTTAAAAATATGTGATTTAAAAAATAAAATGAAATGAAATGGGGTTTAACATCCCACTGTTCTGCTCCGAACTGGGCTAATTAAAACGAGCATACGCCGTACAGTGTGCTATGGGGGAACTATGGGGGAAATTTTGCCCGAACAGCGGCACTACGGCCTACTATTATATCGAATTCCAAATGTCAAGGGATCTTTTACGTGCACGGGCACTCGGTTTTTCGTCCCATCCGAGCGACTAGACAATATATAATATATAATTAGTTAAAATAATAATAACTAAATCCACTTCAATATGTCTAAGTCTTTTGGTATACGTACATGTATGACTGTCGCTTACCACGTCTAGTCAGTATCCATTAAATAATTCACAGATAATTCACTCGAATATCTGCGAGTAGTCTAGTTTTACGTGGATTGGAAACGCCATGTGGTCATTTCGCACGTGTATACTCCTGTTTATAACACGCAATAAATGCGTTCCTAGTGCCATGAGAGAGAGAAATATGGGGATTTACGTCCACTGAATACAATTTATACAAATTTCGGAATTAACATATCGTACAATTTTATTGCCTTATGATTTGTGTGTAGAGGTGGTATTAAGCAGTGGAAGGAAAAATAGGGACCCACAGAAAACCAACTAGGCTGGGCAGGTGACCCTATTCCATGTCACGTGCAAGTCTAGGATTTAAACCACGCCACTTGTTTCAATTCCTGAACTTATGATCTAAAGACAACTAGACCAACCAACCCCACTTAAAAGAGATCCACCATCAGTTATTCATTTTGATTCAAAACAACAAATTGTCAGTTTAACAGAATCTTTGTTCGTGTCAATAATACATTTAAAAGTTAACAGTAGAGAGACGAATTCTCACGATTTGAAGGTGAAAAGTTTCAATTTAAATGTATAATGTGTTATAGATTTCCTTAACGAAATCATCCAATTTAGATATAGTAAAAAAATCCTTTTTAATTTTAATACATTTAAAAGTTAACAGTAGAGAGACGAATTCTCACGATTTGAAGGTGAAAAGTTTCAATTTAAATGTATAATGTGTTATAGATTTCCTTAACGAAATCATCCAATTTAGATATAGTAAAAAAATCCTTTTTAATTTTAATTTGGATTTTCTATTTTTAGTCCAGATCACATTTTGAACCTGATACCTCTCTATAAACTCACGGGGGGTGGGGGGTAGCACGTGCGCGCTGTATCATGAGGTCTGTCATTGAGTCAACTGAAGTGGTTTCGATTCCAGGGTCGCCTTCCAACATCGTGGGTTTTCTCCGGGTCCTCCGACTTCCTTTCACTGCTAAAGACCCCTACGCGCAAGCGAATTATTTAAATAAAATTAAACCATGTGTTAGTCCCGAAATGACCTAGTTGTGTCGAGTGGATGTTACCCCCCCCCCCCCCCTCTCTCTCTCTCCCTCTCAACTCACTGATTGAGAATATAAGTTAATAGCAAATTTACCTGTATTATAATTGGTTTCCAGGCACAAAGGTGTAGAACTTTTACATGTTCAGGATACTTTTTAAAATCAAAAATTCTTAATTCACATTTACCATACCTTCTCACCTGAAAGCATTTCAAGTGATATTTAATTCAAGACGTTAAACTAAATAATAATTTTATGTCTGTGCATGGTTTCTCCATATTTGAAATGAAAGCCACAGGGGTTCATTGGGTAAGGCGCTGATTCACCGACCAGACAGTCCCGGGTTCGATCCCCGTGTTTGCCCAGAAATGTAGTGGTGATCTAAACTAAATGCAGGAAGGCCCCACTACAACCAAAACAAAACCGACAAACCACCTAGACATTGCAAGAAATAAACAAAATATAAAAATTCAAGTGCCGGCAAAAGTGAACACAACGCGAGAAAATGTCCCCCAAAATTACAAACTTGAAAAACTTTGTTTTGAGCATGAGCTCAGCACGATATCTGGCTTTTCCACCACACTTTTACGCTTATGGCGATCTTGACGCCCTCTGAGACCATTTTCCGTCGCCGTAGCAGCACAGTAAGATGCCTCCCCAGTCTGACGGGGGTATAATCTTACAGACGTTACTCAAAATAAAATATAATTTTCAAGAAAGATGTAACATATCTTGAATGGTAATAATCTACCAGCTGACGTCATGAGTTAGAACATCAAACAATTTTAAACCATAAGGGCGATAATCCGGATATAATTTCGGAAAAAGCTAAGCCCATTTTAATATTTTTTACTGTTTTAGGGTCAATACATACAACTTGAACTTACGGCTTGTCGTTCTGTTTCTGTTAATCCTATATCATATAAAATAACTTTGATATCTGGATAAGCTGGCCTTAAAATATTGTCAAGCGAATACAGCGAGGCCTTCGCTTCATCAAAATGATTAGAAGATAAGCCCATTACAACCACTGGAATATCAGGAATCGGTATCGTGGGGTCTGGTAAATCGGGTATATAGATGTCACCGGATGCTGTAGTTCTATCCGGGAAACCAAAACGGGAAAGATACTCTTCTACTTCCGGGGTAGTCTTCATCCCTAACAGTCGCTTCATGTTACTGAGCTTGGTGGCATTGAAATAAGCCTTACAATTTGTATCAAGTCCGTACACTCGACCTGTATAAATATAACCACACACTGTAAATAATATTTGTGTATTTTTATCGTAAATTGACTGGCAGAAAGTTGCCAGTAAATTGACTGTATTTTAACACTGACTTGTAAATTTACACCTAAGTGGCAGATTAAGATTTACAAACAGGATGTAAATAAATTTACAGTGAGTGTAAAATAACTTGTTTTTGTAAATAGAAAGTGGGGTAAATTTACGTTCACTGTAAATGTACACTGTGCTTGTAAATTTACCTCAATGTTATCTTACACTCACTATAAATTTACACTGTGGTTGTAAATTTATCTCAAAGTTATTTACACTCACTGTAAATTCATCTCAAAGTTATTTTACACTCACTGTAAATTCACGTGGTGTTTGTAAATCTAAATCTACAATTCATTTTACGGTTAAAATACAGTTTGGAGTGTATATTTACTTGAAATGTACTTTGGATGTGTTTGTCTCCACTCGGCTAAGTAGTCATAGGTCAATATCATTTGGGATCTAAATTTTATTGTATTACATGCAACACATCATTCGATAATGAAAAGAAATTAATGAAATGGGGTTTAACGTCCTACTGTTCTGCTTCTTACAATGGAAAGAGTAGGAGGCATGCTACGAAGCAAAATGTCCCACACAAGCCTATGTACGGCATATCACTGTCTCCAAACGCCAGTTAGGTGCATTTAGATTCTAACATAGACTAATCTGACTGATTTAACAGTAAATATTTTGCACAAAATTCGATACGTGGTCGAAGGGGAATAGCCGATTTGAACAATATTTGACAGTAAATTTACAATTTATTGTAAAAATACTATTTCTGTTAATATACAGCTCACATAATGTAAACTGACATTTGCTTGTATTTTTACATTACGTTTGGTGTAATCTATACATTTGGCCAAAGAGGGAATAACCGATGTGGCTACTATTTGAAAGTTAATTTACAATTTGCTGTAAAAATAATAATTCAAATAGCAATTCTGTTAATATACAGCTCACATAATGTAAACTGACATACGGTTGTATTTCTACATCAAGTTTGATATAATCTTACATAAGCTTTGTATTCATATGCATTTACATCGTTTTAAATGTAAATTAACAAACTATGTGATATTACAATCGGACACGTGTAGCGCCATAGGTCTTTTGTCTGACGTGGAGAGCGGATTAAGGGAACCGGTCGCCACATATGCTACATACGACCCATGCAACTTTTCTTACTACATATTTCTGTAGCCTTGTGATCGTCTAGAATTTGTCTCTAGCTGTCTTTACTTCTGCTTCACGTTGTGTATTTACTTCTTACAGTTTCTTAAGACGTTGTCTTACCAGGAATAACAATGCGACAGTTTGCTTCTACATTATATATATATATAGCTGAATACAGGTTTACAAGCATATGGAAGCTCTCTGGAACCTAATTTATACCCCCTACTTTTTCCAGGTCTTCAATAACCTTGACGTTAAATTTCCACGCCATATAAGGAATAAAACTCTTTATTTCCCACAAATAATACAGGCAACATTATCTATTTTTGGTCTATCAACCCTAGGTCGATTAACAGCTAGAATTTCAAAAATTTGATGACTTTTTTGACAATGATTATAATTTGACCAAAACATCACTGTTTTTTATGAATAACTAAATCCACGTTCAGAGAGAGAGAGAGAGAGAGAGAGAGAGAGAGAGAGAGAGAGAGAGAGAATGGGGTTTAACGTCCACTCGACACAAACTAGGTCATTTCGGGACTAACATATGGATTAATTTTATTTCAATAATTCGCTTGCGCGTAGGGGTCTTTAGGAGTGGGAGGAAACCGGAGGACCCGGAGAAAACCCACGAGGTTGGACAGGCGACCCTACTCCTTGTCACGTACAACCGGGGATTTGAAACCACGCCAGTCGACTCAATGACAGACTTTATTATACAGCGCGCACGTTAACAATTCAGCCATCCAACCCCCCCATTTTAGCATAGAAGTGGCACTTCTAGAACGCAGACTTTCAGAACAAAACCCTATGCTCGCTAAATGTTAGGAGGCAGAACCTGAAATGACCCAAAAATTTAATTTCGGGTTACAAATGGTGGTGCCGGTCGTCTGCGAGAGGCGAATGGGCAGAGCTTACCGTGTAGCCCCCCTGTAAGACACTCTTTACATCAGCTACACTCGGAGAGTGTGTAGGAACAAATGATGCCATCTAAACTCTGGTATCTAGGAGTATATTATGTTTTATTCAATCTTCACTCTACAGACTACACTTGAAAAAACGTGGTCAGAAAACAAAATTTAAGCGCGAGACAACTCTATTTACTTGTAAAGTGGAGTTATCCCCCTTTACTCATGAGGACTGTATTTTAATGTCTTACTGATAGACTATTTTCTTAACACACTCCCCCCTAAAATTTGGCATCGACAAATTTTACTTAAATACGAAAAATAGTAACATCGGCAAGAATCAAGAATATAATAGAAGGGAATTTAAAGCTATTATCAGGATCTTAACTCTACACACTATACTCTACACTTGTAATAGACTGAAACTTAACTATCTTAAAACTAGACTTTAGGAGTTACTGTTAGAAAATAAAAAATTTACATTTCAATACTCAATTATCTGTAACTAAATCTAAAGGAAACAAGGTTTGAATTGGACGATTCATCGCGATTGGTCTACCGAGTTTATCATGTACACGAATTTCCGCAGCACGAATATTGCCATCGCGACCTTCAAACGTTTTTTTCTACACGAGCTATACTCCAGTTTAATCTTGGGATTTTATCTTCCTGGACAACGACTACGTCACCAACATGAACAGTAGGACCTTTCTTGGTTCTGGGTCGATGGTGATCTCTTAAATCTGTTAAATAGTCTTTGCTCCATCTATTCCGGAAATGGGTTAACACTGTATTCAGATAAGAATTTCGTTTTCTACAATCTTTATTCGTTTTCACTCTGAAATCGTTTGCATTACTTGAATCATTGGTTTGGGATAACAAACGACGGCCTAAAATCAAATGTGAGGGCGTTAGCTTCTCACCACCATCTTCGCACACATAAGTAAGTGGTCTAGAGTTCAAGACACCTTCAATCTCTATGATTAAAGTTAACAGTTCTTCATACGATAATCTAGCTGTACCAATCGTCTTCTTTAAACAACGCTTTGTAGATCTTACCATTTTCTCAAAGAAACCTCCCCACCAGGGCGAGCGCTCGATGTTATAATACCAGCGTATCCTCTTCGACGCAAGAAAACTATGTAACTCTGAACTCTTAAAAGTTTTCCCATTATCGGATATCATTAGCGACGGAATACCTCTTCGGCCAATAAATCTCTTAAAACACATGATAATAGACTCTGACGAGGCATCAGGAACCAAATCTAAATGTATGGCTCTTGTACTAGCACATGTAAATAAAGCGATAAACACTTTGTTCATTTGTCCACTAGAAGAATATATATCTTTCACATATAACGGTCCCGCATAATCAACTCCAACCTTCGAGAATCCAAAAGCATCACTAACACGAAACTCTGGTAATGGTAGCTGTATTGGTACACCATACGATTTTCCTTCTAATCTTCCTGTTTGATTACCATCTTTACAACTTGTCTACCTCTAACAACCCAGAATCTGGTTCTCAACTCAGACAAAGTATCCTGTACTCCGTTATGGTAAACTCTTTCATGGCATTCACGAATCACTAATCTAGTAAAATAATGTTCTCCATCTAACAGAATAGGAAACTTCGTATCGTAAGATAAAGGAGAATTCTCTAATCTACCATGACATCTAAATAAACCATTTTCATCTTCCTTTAAATTTAATGATTCTGTCTGTTTTTGAAATTTCTCTTGAGTCCTCAGTTCAATCTGCATCTCTTTAATCCACAAGTATTCAGCGTCTGTAATCTCATCAACAACAAGATCTCCATGTCTACACTCTGTACCTTTAACTCTGGATTTTAAATTATGGATAAAATGAAAAACATAAGCTGTAACGCAGAGTAATACTGAGAGACTACTAAATTGTTTCACATCGATACTTGTACTTATTTTGGTATAGGAAACTTGAACATTCGTAACTAGGACAGAAGTCTTTTCTTCTTCGCTCACAACAGGTAATTCTACATTATGAGGTTACCAATGATCATTGGGATCTGTGAGGAAAGCTGGACCGTGCCACCATACTTCATTGTTTAATAGATCTACAGCTTTACAACCGCGAGATACAATATCACTAGGATTGTTCGATGAAGGTATTTAACTCCAATCATCAGTAGATGATAAACGTCGTATTTCTGTGACTCGATTGTGGACGAATTGCTTGAATTCTTTGGAAACATTCTTAATCCAACTTAAAGCTACTGTAGAATCAGACGAATAGAAAGTTTTAAAGTCTATCTTGTCACTTAAAGCTTAACGAATACTACTAGCTAATCTGACGGAGACTAAACAGACAGTTCGAGACGTGGTATTGTCATTTTCATTGTAGGTACTACTCGGGATTTCGACGCAATCAGGTTACAATGAATCTTACCAGATGAATGAATACAACAGATATACTCACAACAACCGTATGCTCGTTCGGATGAATCGCCAAATACATGTAATTCTATAATAGCATCACTGAATAAATCAGAACAAATACAGCCCTTAATAATAACACAATTAACATCACTCAAACTACGTACTAGTTCTAACCAATAATTAGTAAATAAATCATCCAATGGGTCATCCCATTCTAAATGTTGTTTACACAATGTCTGGAAACATAATTTAAATAATAATACAATAGGAGCAATAAGACCTACAGGATCATAAAATTTCGCAGTAACACTAAGTACAGCACGTTTCGTAACTCTATCATCTTTGACACTAGATTCTACACTACTTAAGATTTTCTCAAATTCAAATTGAAAAGTGTCTGCATGACAATTCCACTTTTGACCTAACACACTAGGGCTGTCACAGTTAGCATTTTGAAGA